CACACTGGTCCTTTTAATTAAAACGTATACTGATCTTTATTAGCAACAAATAAACATTATAACATGATGCATTAAACAATAGAGATAAATTATGGGGAAATGGTTTTAGTATCATTGATCAACAAACCAACGAAACCTCCACTGATACTGTTTATAAGACTAATAGTAGAAGATCTTCTCAACTATTTAAATATAATAAAGCACATGATATTAAATCCTTGTGGCCGAACGCACAGTCTGGTCGAAGTCCATGTAGTTTGAGATGATGCGGATGTTGGGATGGAAGACGCGATTCTGTTGAATCACCTCCTCCAGGACGTCTCCAACACCAGCCGAGAAGATCAACAGAGGCACCTGTTGCTCCTCCAGATGGTCAAAAAACACTTTGTAACCGTCCCTAAAGAAATCACACACACACACACACTACCCATTAGACACAAGAACCAACGATTATGCACTCGTTTATGCCAAGAATGTTTAATACTCCAGAGCAAGTGTTGTAGATTCTTCCGTAATCTGTTGTCAAATAGTAAAACAAGAAGTTATACTGGTGTAATCTATGTTCAGTCTGCTGGGCAAACATCTACAGTCATATATTTGATTTTACTAATCCACTACAATAAAGTTATTGTGATGTTTTCATTGGAGAGCTCCTGCATGGCAATGGAATGAACGTTATTATTTACTATTTGTTCTCTGTAGAACCGGTGTTTGTTGTTATGAAATGTGAGCTGAGTGTGAACCTGAGCATAGCACTGGATTCCTTCACAGCCTGGGCCAGCATGTCCTTCCTGATCCTCTGCTGAATCAGCAACTCGTGGACTTTAGTCCACCTGTAGAGAGCAGCACAAGACAAGGGTCATATTTCCATCAGGGTTGGGTTTGAGTCGGTTTTCTTTGGTACTTTCGGGAACTGGAGCAGTTTAAAAAGATTCGTCATTGTCAAAATACAATTTAATTTCAGTATGTGCTGAAAGAAAATGAGATTAAAATAGACAGGGTTTATTATTTAGATCTGTTTATTTCTTACCACTCCACCATTAGAGGCAGCTTCTCTTCAGCACTCCTGCCAGGGTCAATCTCTATGGGATAGTAGGTGTTCAACAACTCCCTCATCTACAGTGGACCAACAAAACATACCCATCACATGTTTACTGAACACCTTGCTCCAGTACTTGCTGCTTACAGACCAGAGAAGTTCATCTAGCCGTTCACGGTCAGCTACAGTTACAGTTACAGCAGTGGGAACAAAGACTGACTGTAGCACATTTACCTTTTTAGTACAGTCTTCATTGATCAACAACCGGGTGTCAAGGATATCTGGAAGAAGAAAACATGTTTGTAGCAGCTTCGGAAAGACATTCAGATAGTCAGACTGTTTGTCCAAGACGCATTTAATCTTTTAAAAAGAGTCAGACATCTTTGGCCTGTGTGCTTACTGTGCGTGGTGGGCACTCTCTTGCCGTTGTGGGCGAATTTGGTCAGTGTCATATCGAAGTCGGAGATTACCTGAGGAAACGGTACACAGCAAACACAGATACAGTACAATTTTTTTTCAATTTAGAAAGGCGAGGTGAACATTCGCTGTTTGTATTTATTTGTAAAAGGCTCACAACTCTCAGTTATTACTGGACCGAGGTTTATGAATGAAAATCACATGGACAAACAAGACTGGACAAATAATGAGTTCCAAGATGCTGCAAGTCTTTAATTTTAATCTTATTTTAAAGGACTCTCCACCGTAGACTATCTACTCTGGTGTTTATATAAGTAGTATGTAATTAGGTGAATACGGCCATGAGTAACTGCTGGTTGTAGTATCACCATAAACCTCCTTATATCCAGAAAAGCCTTGTGTTTGGGCGTCATTCTCTGTATTTCAGAATATATTCCTCACTCCCGGGGAAATGTATCTCGGTTCAGTCACCTGCAGGTTGCAGGCGCCTGCTCGCTGCATGGCGTGGATCGTCTCCTCCACTCGGCTGCGCTCCCTCATCAGCACTGAGCACTTGGCCAACTCCGGGATCTGAGCAAAAGAAGAGTTTAGTCTTATTATATAGCGTGTATAAGCCGACACAGTCCCAGGGAAAGGAAGAGAGCAGAGGGTTTTCTTTAATGTGTGCACATAAATTCACTGAAAAGCCCAGCACACACGCACAAACACTACTTTAAAACCAGACTTTTGTTTACTTGGCTATGTAAAGTTTCTGAAATTAAACTTTTATTCAAGTGGGCTTCTTCACCTCGGTCTTGGTCAGCTGGTGCCAGATTGCTAAGACAGTCCGCACTGGTGTGTAGATCCAGGGAATATGATATACCTGCATGGAAAGCCAAAGGGAAAACACATTTAGGTAATGTTTTCTTTCACAGGTTTTCTCTTTTTTTTTCTCCTGGACAAAAACTGATAATTTGGCACTAAACTAAAGCAGTGTGCAATTGGTACAGTCCCACTAAATGAAGTCCTAGTGTGACCCAGAGGAGTCTTTTAGTCAGGTCAGCAGGATATATATGGAGAATAACATATTTTACCTATAATTTGTTCCAATTTACATGTTTTACACACTTGTTTTCCAGCATAAACGCCTTAAATGAGGCATAGATAACTGACCTTATACTATGTTAACGTTAATATCAAAGTGACAGTGCTTCAACTCAGTGGGATTTAAGTTCACCTACATAAAAGTGCCCTATATTTGAATGAAAACACACCTTACTTCATTATTTTCCCACCCAAAAGTGTTAAAATATTTGAACTTTAACAACCTGTTTAAGTTAACCGTTGGCCGTTACAACGTACCATTTTCAAACGGAGAGCTGACGCGTCAACGGCTACTCGTTTCAACAACCGTTAAAAGTACATAATGCTAAAAGACAAACTGTGACTATACGTCTGAAAAATATAAACAAATTAGACAATAATTTAACAATTTACAGTAGACTGGTGTTTTCAAAGATTTGTTTACATTGTTTTTGTTGCACCCGCAGCATTCCCCCACTTATACGCGATAAACATAAAGGTTCCGGCGCACTTTAGTTCCTACTTCACTTAGGACAGTTTTCACCGTGGCACCACTGATCACTGACGGCACATACTGCATCAAATTTATACATTTAAATTATTGATTAAATTAAATACAAAAATATGTATTTGGCATTGATTTAAATACATTTTTAATGAATGAAAAAATATTAGTTATACAAACACATTCACGTAATCTAGCATTTTGGCTACTTTAGAGTAAATCCATCATATTTACATCACCCTGATGTTAATGACTGATGTCTCTGATAGATACATTTATAATTTATCAACACCCTGCAAAATGTCTATCTGCATGCTGAATCCTCACATACAGAGACACAGATTACAGTTGCAATCAATAATATTTTAGTGGCTCTTTGTATCTCTCTACAGGTGTATTGTGAGATGTCATATTTGAAAATGAAAGAATAAAAAGATATCTTTAGAGATGACAACAAACTTTTGATGGTTTGATTGTTTATTGCAAATGGCTGTACATTTGCAGCTCTTGCACATACAAATGAAATGACACAATATGTAACACAGTGCATGTGGTTGCATGAAATCTGTACATATGGCACTGGATCTCCAGTGTTCAAAGGGGGGCAAAACTTCAAACCCAGTTTCAAATCTGATATTGATATACTGCAGCTAATCACTAAAATATGAATAAATGTCTGCTCTATTGCATTTTGCAGTAATCCTGTGGTTGTGTGTCTTGAAACTAATTCTTGACAATTCAAAAACTCCACATAAAATGGATCAAATGAATTTGATTAATCAATGAATACTGTCCAAACATGGCAGGCTCAGAAATCTTAATTCGATCACATTTATAAACAGCTTGGCTGGGGATATCACAGGCATTAAATATTAACAGGGAGCTCAGTAACTGGTCCACACAACACTGTACAATGTTCAAGTTAACATTCAAGGTCCTTTAGTGCAGGAAATACAATTAATTCAACTGTATTATGGGGCAGTTAGGATTTTATGGCACAACTGGGGACATTTTGCCTCCTGGTTTAATGTGTTTTCATAGTCTTTCCACAGTGGAGTGTGCATATGTGAACATGAGCTCTAATTCACTGAGATAAAGTAAGAGGCAACACAAATTCTGCCAGAAGCACAAAGGCAGAACAAACCAAACAACTCCACTAAAACCCAACAAACCAAATCTATAAAGTAAATAGAGCTATTTTTTGTGCGTCAAAAAAATGACTCCTGGTATTTGGTCTATCTTTCAGGGTATGCAACAAACTGGGAAATCCAATTAAATAAAAGAAATAGGACATTATTGGAATGGCAAAAAAGGGACTATACAATCTGTAAAAACTGTTTTAGTGCACAGAAAAGTTTAGTGTATTAAGCATGCTGAACACCCTGTTCCCCAATATGTGCTTTACTCAATACTTTTCTTGCTCCCAAAATCATGATAAACGATTGTCTACTTCAAGTAGGGCACACACCACACACACACTATATACAATCAACAATCCCTACAGTGCAAAAAAGGCAAAACCAAGATGGAAATAGGAGGTAGAAGAGAAATTATAGCAGAGAGGAGTAAAAAGTTGAAGCTGACTTTTTATCCCCACACCGACAGTTTGTCGTCACAATTAATGTAGACATCATTTACTTAGCTAAGTTTACATCTTGACACTTCAACCCACTCACAATTTCACAGAAAAGTGTCACTGAGAACTGTCATAGTTTTATTCTAACTTACAGCAAAACACGTTGACATCATTTACAGCAGTTGCTAAAAGGTCCAGTGAGTAACAGGTAGGAGCATATATTAGCAGAAATGGAATGTAAGACCCATAGGTAAATTTTTATTAGTGTATAATCACCTGAAAACGAGAATTGTGACTTGGTTACCTTAGAATAAGGTGTTTCTATCTACAGAGGGAGCGGGTCTTCTCCACGGAGGCAGCCATGTTGAACCGACATGTTTCTACAGTAGCCCAGAACGGACAAACCAATCACTGTCTCTAAATAGGACTTTTTGCAAGTTTCGCAGTCGCCATAGTTCTCCTACACGCAATCTGCAACTTCACCACTAGATGCCACTGAATCCTGCACACTAGTCTCTTAATGGACCACATATAAAAGCGGAGCTTTTTTTCTGCTAAGCAATGAAATCGTCAATCTTTTCAGAAAATGCCACAGCAATCACAGTATCATTTACTAGCAGAATAAAAGTAAGGCATAAGCTAATAATGTAAGGCCAAAATGAAGACAACACGTAGCCTGTCTAAACCTTAATTTTTTGAACAACATTGTAATCTTCAATCTTTTTTTAAGCAGCCCCATGCAGACATTTCCCCTCAATAAAAGCAAAACATAAGATAGAATTGTGATTAAAAACAAGGCAATTATCAGCAGATTAAGTGCAGGAAGTCACATTCGTGCAGCTTTCCATCTCAACATTCAATCTGAGACTGCAGCTGTCTGCGCAGAGTGAGGGTGCGGCGATGGAGCTGCTGCATCTGTTGCATGCGGTCTCGCTGGCGAGCCAGGTTCTGGGGCATGGGGTAGTGCTGGCAGCCATAAAGATACTGGTAGGGGATGCGAACGTGGCAGGCTGCGGCTCTGCAACGTGGCTGAGGTAACGGAGGCAGCAGCATCCAGCGCTTCCTCTCAGCACAGTAACGGTAGGCCTCCTTGCGGTACTGCTTGTCCATGTTGTTGCTGTTCCTCCACCCGCCGATGATGAAGATGTCGTCACCCAGGTAGCAAATGGCAGCACCTTCCATGCCGAGGACCTCCGGAGGAAGGCTGTCGAGGATGTCTTCAGAGATGTTTCTGCTTATTTTCTGCTGAGCGGCTTCAAGCGTTACCTTGTAGCCCTTGGAGCAACAGGAAGCAGTGTGGTAGAAGTTGGTGGTCGCAACAGCCATTTGAAAACTGCAGTAGTTATCGATGAGCGGTAGGGAGTCCACTTCCTGCCACTTGTGACTCTCTGTGTCATAGCAAGTGGTCATAGTGCTCAGTCCATCATCGCTGTCCATGTCTACAGGGGTCCTGGCCATCACGTACACGTAGCGGTCGTCCACGCTCAATGTCTTTACATCTCGTAGTATCTTTGGTGCTGGCTCGAGATTTTGCCACTCGTCCTGCTCAGGCTCGTAGACAGTAACATCCTTAAAGCCTGGGCTGAAGTTGCCATGGCCACCGATGCTGTAGAGAATGTCTTTGATGCAAGTGAGGCCGAAGGAGTGCTTGCGGGTGGTCAGGCTGCTGACCTGCTCCCAGGTGTTGAGGTTGGGGTTGTAGCGCTCCACCGTCTTGGCGAAGCCCGGCTCCATGGAGCCCGCCACGTAAACATGGCTGTCGGTGACTGCGATGGCATGTCCGTCAAGGTGGTTGTGAATGTGTGGCAGGTTGACCCAACGGTCCTCAGCAACAAAGTAGCCCACGCACTCACTCAAATAGTCTCCACCTTCTGAAACGCCACCCACTACCATGATTACATCCATGTTCTGGCCAAATCGTGGCTGGACTGCTGCCCCGTAGGAGGCACCGGGCTCTAAATCAGATGACTTGAGGCTCTCAAGACGAACAGCGTGGACCTCAAGAGCGTCAGACACCAGCCGCTGACAAGTTGCATTGTTTGCCACTAAGGGCTCCTTTCTCACCACCCGTGTCAGGTATGTAGGAGCAATCTGAGGCAGCCTTAAAAGCTTGAACAGCTCCTCAAAATGCTTCTCTCGTTCCTCTGTGCTTTGGTGCACCCATTTTACGATGGTCTCGAACAACTCCTGTTCCGAATCCACGGTGATTTCCGAGTCCGACAGCCAGTCCCGCAGCAGGTGAACCGGCAGCGTGTTGAACTCCTCGCTGCGGATAATTTTGTGGAAGTTTCTTCTGATCATCTCAGCGGCTCCCTTGGCCAGCTGGTCCAAGGTGTACATGTGGGCGAGGCTGTGCACTGCTACACAGTTGGACAGGCTCACCTTCTTCATCAGAAACTCTGCACAGAAAATCTTCAGCTGCGTCAACAGGAACCTGTGTGAACATGTCAAAATTATGAGATTATCCACGTAGAAAAGTGGAGTTTGGACATGTAGTGATGCCTGTCAGTTAGTAGGAGCAGTAGTAAGTATAACTTGTCATGGATTGCAACTGTATGCAAAGACTCCAGCAGGTGATTTCAGTTATTAGTAAACCTTCAGATAGGATGAATTGAGCAGACGGGTGGATGGAACAAAAGCTTTTGTTTAGCAATTTAAAGTAAAATGTTATATAATAAACTGTGTAGAAACAGACAAACCAAGACACTCTGTCTGCTAGAAAACCTTTTATGTAGTAATCTTTTTAATTACCACGCTTAACTACCTTGAATACAAGTCTGTAGCTGTTTTTACTTGGATTGCCAAGAATATCTTTCTTTTTTCTTTCGTTTCTTCAGTGCTTATTAAAGCCTACTTATTAAACAGCACATAGGTTTGGGTCAACATGTGTAGCAGTTTTTAATAGGGATATGAATATCTTCTTTCATGGTAGTAACATATTTATTTTAGCGGTTTTGAACATGAAAGATAGGTCACCTCAAACTGCTGCTAAAAAAAAACTCATTAAAAAGTGTAGTATTATCAAATTGTGTTGATGTTGTAATCCTTTATATATAATAAGGATCTATGAATCGCTTATAATAGGCCTTTTCCTATCAGACATTTTAATTTAGCTGACTTCATTTATTACTCTGGCTGATTAGCCTAGGTTGAAGATGAGTGTAAATATAATGGGAATCAAATTAGGTTGCAAACAAACAACAACAACAAACAAAATGCATAACTTGCAAACATGAGCCACATCTATTCCCGACAGACTCCCTCTGGCTCTGTAATGGTTCATAATTGAGACGATAACTCAATTAATCCATTAGCCAAAACAGGAAATAAATTAATCCAGTAATTTGTTAATAAACAATAACACAGCTAACGTGAATGATGAAAACAAGCTATTTAAATTTGGCTTTTTGGGAAATTGTAACAGGCATTTTCTTTTGTCATTTTATTTGATGGATTAATTGACAATACACAGACTATAGGTAAACACCTGGGCCATCATTTATTTGGCTAACAATTTGGCTCATCTTCCTGCCTAATGCAGTGTGTGTTGACTGTTCTTATAATAAAAACATGCAGACTTAAAACAGCTATAATACACATGGAGTGCCAAGTTCCACAGGTGTGTGAACTCCAAACAAGTCACACTTGCTGGTACAATGAGGACACAGACAAGGTGTGGCTAATTCAGCCCTCGAAAGCCTGTAGGACAACTACCTAACACTTCCGTGTATAAGCAAGTGGGGAGTTATTACTCTGAATAACTGTAAAAAAATAAAATAAAATTAAAATAAAATACCTGTCAGCAAGTTCCAACACCTCATGCACATTGGCGGTGGTCACCCTGATCTCCCCTGTGTACATGAACTGTATGACACTCTCCACGGTGTCTGGGTCCGGTCCCGTTGTGGAGCTCCATTCCTTCAGCTCCACTCTCCCGGACACGGACTCTGAAAACTGCCCCCCCAGCAGCAGCGTGAAGTACTGCGACGCCGCGGATAACACGGAGCGGTGGGCGGATAAGGTCTGGACCCTCTCCTCCTCCTCGGACCCCCCGCCGGAGCTGAAGACCAGCGTCGCGTCGCAGAACAGCCCCGCCTTCCTCTGCTGGTTCTGCCGCCGGGAGAGCTCCGAGCAGTAGGCCGAGCAGGTGAACTCCTCGGCCTCCTCAGGTTCCCCGTCACCTGTTCGAGCCCCCGGTGCGCCGCCGCTCCGGCTCCAGTCCTCCGGCCCTTCTGCTGCCGCCGCTGCCATGTCGCAGCGGGACAGACTCGGAGGCGAATGAAAGCGCTGAACTATCTTCGGGAATAACTCATAGGCATATATAACACACGCAAAGAGACATTCAAAAACTGACATGCATGCGCTGCGTTCACGGCCGAGCTCTGGAAACAGGAGTGCTCACTTCCGTCTTTATTCCAAACCTACTCATTTTTATTATTTATTTATTTAGCTGGAGTCAATGGGAGGCTCTCAGATTCAAGCTAATATCTGTGTCCACACAATAAACACATACGCCTGAAGCCATACACAGAAGAGTCCGAGATGTTAACGGGTTTTTGAGGTCGTTATAACGCATTTACGCGTCTTTATTTGAGCGAAATTCAACTTTGTTTTAAGGGATGCGCCGTTGTCGCGCCTGCGCGTTGATGTGCTCATGGGCTGTTGCATCCCATGATTAGACCAACATCAGCTGTGGTAATTTACAGCATAAAACATACATTCAGCAATGAGTCATGTTCAGTGTCTGTTTTTAATTATAATGGTTTTATATTGAACAGACTAATAACGGGTTGATGTGGAGGAAACACGAGTAAGTTGTTATGCAAGTCTTTGTAAATAAAATCAATATCTGTGGACAAGAGAAGCACAGTAGACTGTTTCAATGGATTAAAACAACTAATTTGTGTTTTTATGTGATATCAGCTGAAGATTTTAAATGTTGGTATTCTCCACCTCTTTGGGTTTTATTCATTTTCATATTGACTTTAGTCTGAATTCACTGTCCCATAGAAACCTGTTCCCACAGTTAGTATNNNAAATTATAATATATTAAACCTAATTTGAGTCATACCAGAGTAAGCCATTTACAATACAATATTTACCATTATTCTTTATTTATTTAAAGCTTTCTAAAGTACATACGCATGTTTCTATCTTTGAAATCAGTGTGAACTAACCTCTCATAACATTTTTAATAAAGAATAATTCCTTTAAAACTTTATGTTGATTGAAAGAGGTTGCAGATATCTTACATCACAGAATCACTTCTTCACCTACAACAAATATTTGACATTAAACACTTCAGCCAAAATTAAAAGTAAAACAAGAAGTTCTTTATTATTATTATTATTATTATACCATTATATGACAGCATATTACAAAAAACAAAGCTTTTTCTTCACAGTTAAATAAAAACAGCAAAACAAAGATCAAACACAGCAGGCCGTACAGTGGGCAGTTACTAAGTGTTTTGAGTGTCAAGTCTTTAGTGAAAGAAAAAAATCATTTTTCAGAGCCAATATCCGTATTATGTGCAATGACTTTCTCCAAATAAAGCAAACTGCTTTCATGGTCCCTCACCAAAGATGCTTGCAAAGACTCACAGGGCTCATTCATGAAGCATTTTTGTTTGTCTCCTTTTGATGCTTCTACATTTTCCTGTTTTCTGACAGTTATTCAGAATAGCAACACAAGTAGTTCAATTCATACTTGATGTGAAAGACTTGAACACCTCAAAACTGCACCTAAATTTACAGTAGCTGATGACTTTCAACCACTAGTTTAGAACCAGGGTTGGTCTAGGAAAGGCAATGGTAGAGCGACACTTACTACATCATCTGTTTGTTTCATTTTTTTATCCCATTATGATGCCTCCTTTCCAAAAACATAAGATCTGGATGAGTTCTGTTGTATCAACCACCGGACCCTTAAAAAAAATATTTCTTTTGACAAAGACAAAAAAGAAAATCCTAAAAATAACTTTGGTTTCTCTTGTGGTGACAAAAAATCTTTCTTAGGAGTAAAATTTGGACAAGGAATTTAAAACAGATATTACATCTAGTGTTTATACTAAGGTGCAATACTCCAGAAAGCCAGAAAGCATACTTAAACACACTTTCCTGAAACAGGCAAATGCTGATTAAAATTAATCAATTTCTGTTCATCATTGTGAGTAGTTTATAAAAAAAAGACATATTACTGAACAAATTATTGTAGATTAAACTAAGCAGACTGGCGTAACGCAGGAGTCAGGATTGAAATGTGCTTTGAATCCTGCCGCCGTACCAACTACGCAAAACAGGTTTTATTTGCTATTTTTAAAGTACCAACTTATTTTGTGCTCCTGCAACTGCTGCAGCTTGCATTGGTTTGGCTGTCAAACGGAATAAGTTACATCTCTGACTAATAGTTTGCCGAAAAACAAATTCTGAAAAAAATACTTCCCCTTTTTCTCCATAGAAACTGGAGCGAAAAGTTCTACCCAGACCCCTCAGTCCAACAGTACTGCTACTTTCCAGAATCATCCTGCCCCGTTTTCCCAAGGCAGCTGTTGTCATAACCGGAGAGTACATATATACGTTAAGTGTGATGTGTAATGCTGCCTGACCCGTTAGGGCAGTCACATCTGGAAGTGCTTCCCATTCTGTGTTGTGGGGACTACATGGACATATGTTCAGGGAGCACATAGGAGATGTCATCCCAGGGGTGGCGGTACAAACCCTGTTTCAGCCTCTTCTGGTCCAGGTAGTGTCCTAATGTAATACAGACACAAGTTAGACATCTTGTTCCAATACTTTTAAAGTTAGTGTTGTGGCTGTGTCTGAACAGGACTCACCAATAAAGCCCATACTACGTCCAAGGACAAAGATCCCATTTAGTGCACCAATCTCCACAAACTCGTCAGCTTCATCTCTGGAACCAGTTCAACATTCATGTGAGAAACAATACTGGATATTGTGCCATCCACACAGAAAGCAACAATACAGACAATGGACTTTTGGCATCTGATCTATGAAGAATACCTTTTGTTAACACTTTAATAAATGGTTGTGGGCACGCATAAGAGGAGGCTAATCAAAGATAATGAATGAAAATATAGTGAAACAGTTGTAATAATATAAAATATAAGAGGAGTTGTAATTGTTGACAAATAGTACAATTAATAAACCTTTTAATAAATGTTTCTACAGTGCCTATAAATGCTAAATAAGGGGGAATAAAAGTTACCTACATTTTGTAAGTGTATCATATCAGAAACCAGATGACATTAATTGACATTTACATTTTTTTTTTCAACTTACAATAGGAAATTTCTTAAAGAATAAACCAAAAAAAGCTAAGTAATGGTCTTTTTCATACTTAAAGATAAAAAAATCTTAATATCTTGATAAAAATCTTTAATAAAAAATAAAGGATCCCTTTAAAGCACAAAAGACTATCTTACCGTGTAAAGCCTCCACACGTCCTAAGCAGGTCCACAAAGGCAACCCCAATAAAACCATCTACATTGAGGATCAGGTTGGGTTTCTGACAATAAGAAAGATAAAATTAGTTAATCTAAATCTAAAGAGGAATAACAGTAAGTCAGCCAACCTCTGCTGACTCACCATTTGATTTTCTAAGGGCCTTCACATATTTTGCTTCACTTTTGCCAATTCAGCTGACAAGTACCTTGGAAGTGGTGATCTTCTCTACGTCTAGGGCATAGTCGAGTAGCTGGGTTGAAGGAAAATGCTGCTTAACAAAGTCCTTTAGAATCTGCACCCGCATGTCTGGGTTGTTGATCTGAAAACAGAGGCAAACATTTACGGCTTTGTGTCTTGTCTCAATGAATTCTCTTAACTGAAACTGTAAGGTATTTTAATTTTTCAGATAATACAATCATAGCAGTGTTGTAATATAACTAAAAATGCCACATTGTTTATGGATCTTGATAATTAAACTTGAAGTAGTGTGAAAAAGCTACATACTGATTTGACTCTGTGGCCGATGCCCATTATGAGCTTGCCATCCTTCTTCATCTTGTTGACAAACTCCATGGGCAGCATGCCACTGTCGAATGCCTTGCTGAACTGCTTTGCTGCTGCATCCAGAGCACCTCCAAAGCGATCTCCCTGGTATTTATGAATAAATCAGGTTTCAGTACAAGAAAATGTGGACAAAGACAAGTGTTCATTTTTTCCTAATCAAACATGGTAGCACATTGTGTGAGCAGTACTGACAATGGTGAGCAGGCCAGAGGTGAGGCTTGAAATAAGATCCTTGCCAGCACGAGCACAGACAATGGTGTTGTGTGCACCAGAGACGGCCGGCCCGTGATCAGCAGTCACCATCAGGCACATCTCAATGAACTGGCAGGCATAGCGCGGCAACCTAGACAGAAACACAGCATGGCTCATTTAACTGAAAATATAATTGTAAAAATGAGAATCAGCCAACTGTAACTGATTACCACCAGTTACAGTTCAGTTGTCATACCAACCTGCGTTGGAACCAAAGCAAGCCAAGCACTCCTCCTAAACCCATCTCCTCCTTAAAGACCTCTGTGATGGGCATGCCAGCGTAGATGAGCTCCTGGCCTCTCTCATCACAGATGCTCGTCATAAATGAGGCTGGCTTACGGATCAGGCCCAACTCCTGGAAGAAAATCCAGTGGAGAGTAAAACAAATATTAGACGTGTTCTAACAAACAGAGTGAAAATGTTTGTACAGTGTGAAGCAGAGATCAGTATCGGTGTATATGTCAGCTTATAAGTAACAATGTCACGGATATGTGTTATACCATTATATATTGTGTCCAATAATGAGCTCTACATTGTGACTACCAGACTGAATCATATATTCTTCAGTTGCTAAGAAAGATGCTGTGAAAAATTTAATAAACTTTAAAGTTTATCAGGGAGTAATGATGAAGGTTCTTACCCTGGCCCAAGAGTAATCCATAGGTACTGTTGGGGGAGGCACCTCCTGAGCAGGAATGATGATACCATTGGCCACCAGTTCATCATAAACAGTCCTGTTTAACCATATATAAACAACAATCAGTGAGAACCCCTAAAAAAACAATTCAGTAACAAACTCTGGTATGACCGTGTGACGAATTTCTCACTTGATGACATCTCCCAGCTCATCAAAGCTTTTTGGTACGTAAGCTCCAGCGTCCCTCAGAGCCTGGTTCTTGGCTACTGCTGTCTCTGAAGCCTGGTTGGCACAAGCCCCTGCATGGCCAAACTGAACCTGAAGATGACAGAATTACAGGGTGAGCTGAAATATTCTGACTTCCCAGGTGACAACAACAACAACAAAATCCAAAGCAAGTTATTTCGATAAAGCCACCGGACCTCTGAAGTGAACATGGTGGCGCAGGTTCCAATAC